AACGTTAGATCACTGTTTATTTGGCTGCTACTTATTTTACTCCGCTCACTCCTGAGGAGCTATACAATTTTTGAAGACGGTAAAAACATATTTTCGCGAAAAGGGGCGCGCTGAAAATGTCTGTATATTCGGTTAAGTAGGCGCGAACTGGTTGTGCAGTTCCACATCAGCTAAGCAAACATCCGTTAGTTAGCCTGTTAGCCTCCCTGACTGAAATGATACTTCATAACCGAAGTCTGGTTTTCTGTTAGCCACATGGTACATTAAAAGACCTCTGTAAGACATACGTCCAAATGACACCGCAAAATGTGTCGCTTTCGCCATTATTTACCTTTTGGTGCAGTTTCGCTACAATTTTTTCCGGTTCTCCTCCTCACCGCTAAAAACAAAATGGCGTCTTTCTTTAGTCCGAAGACAGTGGCGTCATGGGCCCCGCCCTCGCGTAAGTGTTGTCCAATCACGTTGTCCAAAGTGCATGCGAAACCCCACCCCATTCTTGTCGTCGTCCAATGACTGCATCGCGGGCGTGAGGGCCGAGGTGGTAGGTAGGCTAGGTACGCGTGTACAGGCCGCCTCTTCCCATGCAAAATGAAAGATGAGTCTACCTGAATATGTTTAGCAAATGTATGCATGCCCCTGATGAGAGAACCTCGTGTTTTCCAACCGCTTTAACCAGAGAGATGACCAATTATAAAGTAAATGGATAAATTAATTGAAGGTTGTGTTGGAAGAGGATTTTATAAATAGCTGACAGATTAGCTGCTTTGAGTGTAGCCTGTAACGTTAACATGTAGGTATGTACTGTATGAGGTTACCCTCTAGTGGCAAAGATGCTACAACGTGCCAGGTGCCTGTAATAATAATAATAATAATAGGCTTTTTTTTTTTCATTTCTTAAATCCTTTATGCAAATACTTAGCAGGGTTATGATTATTATTTTTTTTTTTTAACTAAACCATTTATAATAAACGTTAAGTGAAATACGATCAAATACAGAAAGACTTACTTATTTTATTTTAACTAGTAGCCAGGACAACAATACACAAAATAAAATAATAATAAAAATGACAAAACACACAACAAAATTAGACAATATGGAAAATATAAAATCAATTATTATTTTAATTTATAAACCCTATATAAGTATCTTTTATTTTTATTACTTTATTTATTAGTAATTTTTGTCTTAAATCGGAATGACCTACTGGTCATGAATATATGAATAGCATCAAATCATAAAATCAATAGTCCATCAGATGGTATATTCTCCGTGATCCACTGAGCGAAACAGCATTAATTCTGCAGAATATAGATCAAGTCCAATCAGCAGAGGGTGCTACAGATAAGACAAAACCAAGCAATTGCCAATCCACTGAAGCCACAAAGCTACAACTACTTGCAATTCACTGAAGATCTGAACCGACTGTTTTTGTTGATTTATTTATTTATTTGAAATTATACTCGTCTGGGTAAGCAGTGGACTCTGATGATTTGAAAGTACTGTTAACATAAAAGCTGGGTTCCTGGAGAGTCTGCCATTAAATTTATTAAGCTAATTCTATTTTTAGGCTGAAGCTTCTTTCAAGTTGCACCAACAGCAGTGACAAAGAAATATGACCAAACTGGGCCTTTTCGACTTCAGACCTAAAAAATACCTAAAATACATAAATGAGCCAATTGTTGGAAAGATAATTTCATTTTAAAAACATAGTAACAGCCCAACAAAATTAGCTTTTTTGGATCTGGGAGTGTGAAAAATACCATTCTCAAGGACTAACTTCCTGAAATATAAGTTCATCTAACAACTTTTTCATCTAACAAAAATATAAGTTCATCTAACAACAGTGGCACTGATCTAGAGTCTGGTATGCAAGGTTTTACTGTCAACAAGATACACTTATTTTAATAAATAATGACAATGACATGCAAAATGATACAGCATAAGAGTTATCTGCTGTATCATTTCAAAGACCTCAAAACAATTTTAAACTAAACAAATGGACCTCTATTCAAGAACCCAACACTAATAATAGAAAGACGATAGTGTCTCCTCTTAAACTTTATATTCACCCATACTATTCACATTTCAGAAGCAGAGTTGTTTGGATTGGTCACCACGAGCAGGAGGTGCACCTGGCACACCTCCGTCATAAAGGTGGGTGTCTTAAACAAAGGAGGTGACATCATAAGGGAAATGTGGAGCCCGGTTGGTCAGTCACTGATGAAGGAGAGAGGAACTGAGATGAAAGATCAGTCACGATTAGCTCATTATATCTTGTGTTTAGTGATGACAACAGCATCAAAGACGCCAGTGTGTTAATGATGCTGAGGAAATGAGAATGGAGCCACAGTTTGTAAACAAGGTGTTGGAATTAAACAAGAGTAAACAGACACTCATTATCCTTAAACTGAACTTAGAAAAAAAAGAATAATACTTATAGCAAGTGATGATGACAGTCAAAGTCTGAATTATTCAATGTTTGTGTATTTATTTATTTATTTTTGACATCAATAAAAGAGATATCAAGACAGTGCGTATGGAATAAAAATTATATTATAATTATATATTATAAATAATTTATAAAATGGTGCGTTCTTGTACGCGAAAGTCTGCGATATTAAATCACATGATAGAAAAGGTCTTCACAAACACTATTTTAGACAACTGTGACAGGCACAAAATTATGCCTCACTAGTTTGTGGAGTCCTTTGGACACAGAGTAGCAGTGATTATTGACTGTTTTGAGATTTTCACAGAGAAACCATTCAGTGTGAAAGTGTGTGCCCAAATGTCTTCTATCCACAAGCACCACTGCACTATTAAGTAGTATTTGACAGATCATCTAGTGCATCGAAGAATCGATTGGATCTGCCTGCAAAACACTTTTTTAGACAACTGTTACAGGCACAAAATTATGCCTCACTAGTTTGTGGAGTCCTTTGGACACAGAGTAGCAGTGATTTTTGATTGTTTTGAGATTTTCACATAGAAACAATTCAGTGTAAAATTGTGTGCCCAAATGTCTTTTATCTACAAGCACCACTGCACTATTAAGTATTTGACAGATCATCTAGCACAGTGTTTCTCAACCAGGGGTTCGTGGACCCCTGGTGGTCCTTGACGTAAGGCCAGGGGGTCCGTATAAAGTATGAATTTTTGTATAAATTTTGTATATTTTGACATGACATGTTCCCATGAAAGAGAAATCCAATATAGCTGATGATATGGCCAAATACTGGACAAGTCAACTAACTTGAATTATACTTGACTGCATTTGGTCTTCACAAAGACACAAATGATACATAGATGAGTCAATTTTGTTCTGGGGGGTCCAACCCAGTCTTGCATTAGTAATAAAGTATGTGCAATGGCATTTTCATAAATGTGTTTTGATTGTCTCCTTGTTATCAGTACTTTGACAACCAAATTAAGTACATGTTGAACAAACAGGGTAAGGTTTAGTGGTAGAGACTCACATGACGTAATTACTTGCAATTGTGCAAATTGTGTGTGCAAATCAATGGTAGACAAAACAGAACATATAATCAAGTATAAGTAAATAATATACGTTTTTATATCGTAAATATCACGAGGTTGCCTCAGATTGTATGGACCAGTGTTGTTAATCAATTACAATTTATAGAAATTACTTTTCCTGAAATCTTTGCTGAGATTATCTCGGTATCGTATCTATTTTGGTTTGCTTCTGTTTCTCCAGTTTTTCAGTTTAATTGGTATTTACTTTACCGCTCCGGATACACTATCAGTTCACTGCTCAATGCAACGTTGTGACGTCACACATAATAAACGCACGTGACTGACAAAGACCGATTACAACGCAGCATCACACAAGCCATGATAAAAAGTTAAGGCAACGACGCAACCAAGAGCAATATGTCTTCCTCAGATGTAATGTTAGTTCTGTACATAAGCGTTGGGCAAAATAGCATTATAATCTCCTTTGGTAGAGAAAGCTGCTTACATGTATGCTACACGGGGAAATGACTAACAGCGAAGATGTTGAATTAAACGTAAACACAGCTTTTGTGTCTTATTTTTTAATCTGCTTTTCCGCATATACACTCTGGCCCAGATAATCAAAACTTCTACTTACAGCTTGCTCCATTTCTGCAAATCAGTTTTTCTGAATGAATGACTTGCTCTACCTGTTGCTTAGGTCTTCATCAACAGCTGATTGCAGCACCTGCTGGTGAGCGACTAACAGCAGATAGAGATCATGCATAGGTAGGCCGACTCTACTCCTGCAGTTCCCGGATGTGCAATGCTGAATTTTCTGCCGAATTTGAACCACTGAATTTGCGGAAGCGAGTTTGTAAAGTGAAATAAAATGGACCAAAAATTGCCTGTCGAATATTATAGGCCCTACATAGTATTTTTAAACAGACTGAATATTTCGGAAGTGAACTCTGGAAGGTGAATATGAATTATTTAATTTTTAATGATGAAAATGTGTGTGAAATGTTTTGAATTGAAATATTCAAAGCTTAAATAAACAACTATGTTGAATTTCAGCCCCTAAAAGTGCAAGCCCTGAAAATATAAGGCATTAAAATGCAAGCAGTCTTAATGCAATGCATTAGCCTATTTTTTTCAGTTGGTGCAATTCAACATGCTTTTTTGTTTCAAACACATTTGTCATTAATTTTCTTAAGCGTGGGACCGATTGAAAATGCACTTTTCTATTTACCTACTATTTGTTGGTGTTGGGGGATTAAATATCTTAATCCATAAAATATTTTAGATAATTCATCCATAAAATAATCCATATTGTCCATGATCAGAAAGAAAAGGAAAGTTGTCTGAATCAGCCCTAAGTAAAGATGAACCATTCAACAGGTAAAACGCACCTGCTAATATGTAGGGAAATATCGTTTCCCTGGCAATGGGCGGAGTGACTGATGATCCAATAAGTCTGACGCGCCTCACCCCTCTCGGGACCGCTGAAATGAGTTTCTGCCCCTTTAAGAATTTGAGCTGTCCAGCACAGCTGGGATTTCAACACGGACAGATAGCGCAATGAAGAGCAGCGTCGACCCGTCATCATGTGCACCGGGCTTCCGAGGACTGCCTGTCCGCTGCGACTTTTTGCCCTCTGCATCCTTCTCTCCCACGCAGCAGCCTATTTCGGGTCAGCAGAGACTTTTATATCCTCTGTCTTTTCGGAATTCATTGAAATAGCCTCTGAGTGCATTATTGCTGTATTTTACATGAAATAGAATCATTTTAAGTTGCGGCAACAGGTGGAGATATTTGGTGATGTTGGATGTCCCATGCGCAATAACGCATATCTTGTTATTGTTTGTATGTTTAATCATGTTTAAAACCTACGTTGCAGGTTGTCTGTAACAAACAATCAAATGAGGCAAGATTAAATAATTATTTGTTGAAGGTGGTATTTTAAAAAGATCTAAAATTATTTAAATAAGGAAGCTAGACTTTTTGCCTGTTCTTTACAAAGTAGCTACAAGTAACACTATTAGATATAATTTTATGTATTTTTTTAGTTGTTGTTTTGAAAACATTGATTTGCCTAAAATATTTCAATAGTGTGCTGTTCGAGTCGATTATTGCAGTTGAGCGCGGCGCAGTGTATGGATCCAGATGTCTTCCGATGGTTTGGCACCGCGTCCTTACCCTAGCACTACCTGATAATTAAGATCTTCCTGGCTTACGTTCAAAGGACGTTGCCCAATGGTTTTTATAATAAGAATCCTATAAACACGTAAAACACTCTGCAATGGGTTTTATTTAAGAGTGCTTACTTAAGTTTGTTAAGCGCCACATAGCGTTTCCAAAAGCCAAGACTAGCCTACTGAGTGACTGGGTAAAGAGCACGTGTAGTTTGGTGCATTCTTTATTCAAACACGACTATTCAAATTAGGCATTTAAACATATTCAAAGCACATGTGCCATCACTCGTACATTCTAGAAAAAAAAGTGAATGCGCTGCTTGAATTTTCAAATACAGTAACTTTAGTGCCAAAGTTTAAACTCCTAAAACCTATTGAAAATTGGGATTAGATAAACAATTGTGACAAGTTAAACTGAAACAACGATGTTTCATAACGTTATGATTAAAACGTTTTACACTTTATCTGATGTTCTAAAAGGTCTTGAAGGTCTATTTTAGTGTATTTTAAATGTATGGATGGAGTTTGTGAACAAATAAAAATGAACCCTCGCCGAAAAATAAATGAATGGTTTCAAATTAAAGAGTTTTAGTGACTGTATTGTGCATGTTGTCGTTAGCCTTACAGGTCGCGAGCCCCTGGTTTTTCTGCCAGGTCCATTTGCCAACGAGCCTCAGAACAGTAAAGCGCACCTGAAGCAATGCGAGCAGATGACTTTGACGCGCCGGCAAAAGCGTTTGTGCCGGCGAGAACCGGGGCTGGCGGAGACTTTGAGGGAATCTGTCCGTCTCAGCCTCCTGGAGTGCCGCTATCAGTTCCGCAACGAGCGCTGGAACTGTAGTCTGGATGGCCGTGGAAGCCTTTTAAAACGAGGTACGATATGAGACCCTTAGCACAATATTGGTGTTCTATTCTGAAAAACGTCACTGTAAAAGCAAATTTCTGTCAAATGTTAAACAAATGTTAAGTGTTATTAAAACATTGCATTTGCCATCTCAAGCTAAATGTACAAATGTTTTGTTAAAATTTTTACAAATGTTAGAATGTATCTATGATAGGGTTGACAGTTCAGCCATTTTTAGCCTTGCTCTCAAGGTCACGAAATTACAAGTTGTTGTTTATGGAAGTGTTCATAATTTTAATTCGTTTTTTTTTTTTCAAATAAAATGGTATGTCCACTAAAATAGACGATAGATAGATAGGCCTAGATAGATAGATAGATAGATAGATAGATAGAAAAAAAAAGTTATTTGATGTTTGTTCCGTTAGGAATATAACTATAATAACACATAGTAAAAAATTTAAAAACTATTAATTGTTGAAGCCATGGTTTAATGTTAATAAGGAACAAATAGAAATGACCGAATCTTGTGAGTTTAAAATCCACAAAACACAATTGTTCAATTTGCTGTTTGGTAGCCTTAAATTAGTCAGTACTACTTATATGTCCGAAAGAGAATGCTTTAGCATGAACAACTATGCAGAAACCTCCATGTGGTGCCTGCTTCCAAACGAACATGTGCGTAATGTGCAGGATGTGAATGTGAAAGCCATACGTAGGTCAGTCCGCTGGTAATTAGGGACTTGGGAAGCGCGGAATCCCTGTGCGGTGAGGCCTCGCGGGGCCAGTTGAAGTATTTTTATCTCGCGGAAAAGCGCCCTGTTCTCAGAGGAAAAGGGCTTTCATCTGACAGAAAACTTAGTCAAAATAATAATTAATTGGATCAAAATACACGCCTTGTCTCAGCTCTGATCTAAGCTAAGCAAACCATAAAACGAGGAGGTTGCAAGGAGGGATTAATCGTGACAAAACACTGCACTTAACACTTTATTGAAAAAGTTGTAGCTAGTTTATGATAGAGTGTTTAAATGTAAGAGAAATCCATTATAGCCTACAGGCATGATAAGGGTGGCTTTTTCGTTTAAAATCTACATGAAGTGAGTTTTAAATAATAAACGTGGTAATAGAAATGTATTTTAAAAGAAGAATAACGCATACAAACAAAGATCCATATTTATGTTATTGTGGACATGCCTATACTCATCCACTTTGTTATCAGTTATCGGTACTGTTTGAGAATTGCATTATTTGCAATCAGAGATAATTGTTTTTATTAATATTACTTAATTCCAATAAAGTGCGTAGTATTTAGCTTGTCATGTGAACTCAACATGTCGCCCCTATATGTTTATATTTAACATATAAAATATTGTATTACGTTACTGATATGATACATTTCAATGTACGTGATTTAGCACTAGTTATGTATTTACGTGTAGGCCTACGACTTTTTATGTAACAAAAAAAAAGCTGTTCACATTTAGCGCACCTGCTCAATGCTCATTTATGAATGCATCACTTCATCAGGCTTTAAAGAGACGGCCTTTCTGCTCGCGGTGTCATCAGCAGCGTTGTCTCACGCGTTGGCCAAAGCGTGCAGCTCAGGGCGCATGGAGCGCTGCACCTGCGACGATTCTCCTGGTCTGCAGCACCGCGAGGCCTGGCAGTGGGGCGTATGCGGGGACAACCTCAAATACAGCACTAAGTTTCTCAAGAAATTCTTTGGGCAAAAACGGGTCAGCAAGGACCTGCGTGCCCAAATCGACGCTCACAACATTAACGTCGGCACCCGGGTAAGATGCAAAAATATTACCATTAAAAAAAAACAAAAAACAAAAAAAAACATATCAAGGTTACATAACGTTACAAAAATCTAAAGAACCTTTTTATGACGGAAATGTTCTATTTGCATCTATGGAACCATAGATGCAAATATGTACTCTCTATTTTTAAAAGTGTTCATGGTCCATTCTCCTCCAAAACTCATAGAAGAGAACATCTGTAAGGGTTAACTGTCTCACACCTTCCCGTCCTCTCTTGGTTGATGGGGTGCGGTCTTCTAGTTTATTGTAGCCCAAAGGAGAGTTCAGCGAGTGGTGTGAGGCAGGTAGGTGAGCAGGTATTGGCCAGGTCTCTGGAGCCAGGTGTTCCTTCCCCTGGTCCAGGCATGACAGCGCTTGCTGTGGGGGCCCTCTTCAAAATTAGAGGTCTCCCATGAGGGCGATTATACAGAGGCCTCTGTAATATATGAGCATTTTTTCCACCTACTGTATGCCTCCCGCTCTACCAGTCTCACTGCTGCCGCTGCCGCCGTCGCCACCACTCTCCCAGACTTTCATAAATCCTCATAACATCTCTCAAAACAGTTCTGTTACCAGGAGACTGGCAGCCTCAGGGAAAGACAGAGAGAACGAAAAAGGGGGATGGTTTACGAGGTTCACAGAAAGAGTAAGAAAAGAATGGCTGGACAAACTCGGATTTTATCTTATCAGTCTCCGGTTTTGTTGTTTCCCACAGTTGACACCTCAGGCCACAGATGGCGGTTAACAAAAACAAGCAGAGGTGGCTGAGGTCTTGTTTTCCCCTCCTCTTTCAGATTCTCTCCGTTGCCTCACTTCTCCTCTGTATTGCTCAGGTGGCCCTGGGGTGGGAGCTCATACCTGTGTAGGGTGGAACACCCCCATCGACCATTTGACCTCCCCATCTCCCCTTGGGCACTTTTTGATAGACTGATTTGCTCTGAATCTACCTCCACAGTATGTGAAATGTAGAGAGGAGCATGAATAGGAGAAATAGATCAACAGTCAACAAGTAAACAATGTGATTTAACTCCCAAACTCAGAGTACCAATACTTCGAAATTGAAAATAGAGAGCGAGAGAGTAACAGTTCAAAGATGGAAATGTGCTGATCTGAACATAGATCAGGGATGGTGGTCTTCAAGAGGTGCAGGTCAGAGTTGAAAGACCGCCAGCTCAGGCATTCCCCCTGCATCCAGCATCTACACCATGTCAACCCAATGTTTTTAGCTCAGGGCTATGGAGTCCCAGAGTATCAGCTGAATTACTTGAACAATTTATAATTTTGGATAACATGCTGTCCCACTTTTACAAACTTCTATGTTAATTTCCCTCCCCACTTTTGGGTAGATAATCAATACCAGTGTATTAATGTGACCTCCCAAACATGTAAAATAGTTCTTTCTAGGCCAGTGGTTCTCAATGTTTTGGACTCCAAGGCCCATAATTGTCCAATATTTGAAGGCCCCATGACTTTTTCAGTTGTTCATGATTTATGATTAAGGAGAAGGATTTAAAAAAATAGTTTTTTACTCAAAATATCTAACCAATTGAACATTTTAGAGCTTGACATAACTAGAAAAATCTATATACAGTTGTATATTCAAAGCCCATGGAGCTTTAAGATTTTAATTTACATGACTTTTCAAGGTCTAGAAAATATACTTTTAAAACTAAGTTACCTCATATATCCCTGTTTTCCAAGGCCACAGGAATCCTGATTCCTCAAAGAAAAAACTAGTGTTGAGGTGTGAAATAAAATATGAAATATCTTGAAGTTTAATTGTTTAGTTTTATTTTAAGTAATTTTAATTCATCTTGAGGCCCCTTGGAAGTTTGATGAGGTCCCCTAGTTAGCCTCGGCCCCTTGGTTGAGAACCACTGATCTAGGGCTCTTTTACACCAATGCAATATGAAACAAATGAAAATAAATCACTAACGAAAGGTCTGTTCACACCAAGAGTGAAACCACTCATGATTAGTGTGGTAATCTTGAGTATACTCTAGTGAATCTCGAGCAAACTCGAATTTGATTCACAGTAATTTTTTAAGCTTGGGCTCTGGACTAAGAGCTTACAGTATATCTTATTAGCCGGTTTCATTTCATCACTGGACAAGAAAAAAAATTAACACAATCACAGAAGTGTCAATAACTCTATAAAAATTAATTGTTTCTCTTTAAAATCTTCTTCAGTACCAAATATCCACGTTAAAGGGTCGTAGCCAATCCAAAAAGTGAGACCAAATTTCAGCATCCCATATCGAATCCACTCTTCCTCTCCTAAGATTTCTTAGTTTCTGACTCATTTTCACAGGATCATGTATTTGGCGTACTGTGTTCATGTCTTCACCTCTGTCTTTTCTTTTCCTCTCAGGCGGTGAAGAGTGGTCTTAAGACTACTTGTAAGTGTCACGGTGTCTCCGGTTCGTGTGCTGTGAGAACATGCTGGAAGCAACTCTCCCCATTTCAAGACACAGGCCACCTGCTGAAGTACCGCTATGACACGGCCGTTCGAGTGCATAGTGTTACCAACTCCGCCACTGGGGAGACCGAGCTGGCAAGTCCTCGGCGTCATAGCAACACGGGTCCCTGCCTACGGCCCACCGAGCTGGTATTTCTGGAGGAGTCGCCCAGCTTTTGCAGGCCGTCACGTTACTCGCCCGGGACGGCCGGCAGACCATGTTCAAAGGACACCAGCTGCAGCAGCCTGTGCTGTGGACGGGGCTACAACACGGCCCTCCACCTCACCACCATCTCCTGCCACTGCCAGGTCCGCTGGTGCTGTCACGTCGAGTGTCAAACCTGCCTCCGAGAAGAAGAGGTCTACACCTGCAAGAAACATTGATAAGAAGGAAACTGAGAAGACGAAGTGGAAAGTGAGGAAGCTTGAGGATTGTTAAGGCGTCTACTAGACAACTAGTAGAATTTTGAGAAGTTTGGAGGTTGTGATCCAGGTTGTGCTAAGGGAAAAGATGTTTAGGATGATCTGCCAGTCTTACCTGATTTAGAATGGCTTGGTTGAGATGGTTAAGTCACTTTCTTAAAGTCTGGGCTCCCACATGGAGTTCCGAACAAAAGTGTTCATTTAATATGACCAATCAGTGCCTGAACAAGCGTATATAAGCTGCTGCTTACTTCTGCCTATGACAGTTCTTCCAGCATTCCTCCACCACCCCAGCTCCACCTTCTTGATTGGTTACCACTAAAACCAGTCAAGGAAATCCTAGGGGGTCCGACTTTCAGGCTCGGGTCAAGTCTCCAGCTCAAACCCTTTAACATGGACAGCAAGCAAAATATGTATACCTCCACTTCATTAAAGATTACGTGAACTTGTGAAACAAGTGTGGACAAACCTGGCCATGGGTCCCAGAGTTTCTAGAATGAAAATTGCTCTTCTGCTGTTAAGGAACCCAAATGGGACGTTCCGGACATTTCCCAGCTTCTCACATGTAGTGGAGGTTGGAATTGAACCAGACTACTCTTTTCTTCTACAGTGATAAACCAACCTCACCGGGAGGTTGCCCGTTGAACAGTCGGTGTTGATCGCACATTATGGAAATGGACTAGTGATCTGCGAAGTATAGTTATACTCAAACGAATAGTTTGGAAGAGAGATGGCAGTCTGCTCACTTACATTTCTGACTGCTTGTCTCTCTTCCTGCCTATAATGTACATGTATATCTCTCTATTGCTCTGAGAGTTCACATATGGCTTCAAAATATACTGAGAGTATGAAGCACTTATGAATGCATTTATTTGTGAATATTATGGTAGTCTTTTATATGTAAGGAAGAAAGTACTTGCGTCTGTTATGGTATTCACAGTTAAAATGCTTAACAAAGATATTACAAATGGGGAGGGGGGGTTATGCTGATAAACTGGAAATCTACTGGGACACAGTCTGCTTTCATAGACTTCTAATGAATGTTAGAGAAAGTTATATGATCAGAAATGTTTTGTTTTATATTTTGAATGGCCATTAAATGGCTGTATCTGGTAATAGATAGGAATGTATTTATTGCAATTAGATAAAACTGATCAACTGCTGCACCAACTTCATGTACACTTACTGGTGTACTCCAGACTGCATTCATGAATTTACTAATTTTTATTTACATTTGCCACATTGCTGCATGATTTCCCACTTTTCTATGTAGAAGTATGTCAAAAATACAAGCATTAGGGATCGACCAGAACAAAGCGTGTCATTACAGCATGACCCAAACATAACCTCTCCCTACAGTTGCGTATAGTGTGTGCAAACATCTGGGCTTCTGAGTATGTAGTCTCTATTCCTGTTTCCCATCAAGGGCAATGAAAGAGAGTATGTCCCATCCAGAACAAAGGAAAACATCTCCTTCCTAGTAAGCAAGGCTCTCTGGCCTATAAAGTCTGTAAGCCCTTTCATGTGTGTGAAGCCTTTGATAAACTCCATTCCAGTCCCTTATTAGCCCATTACCAATCAGAGCAAATAACAGTGCTTGTTCTCCAGAATGTGCTGAAAGCAGAAAGATTTTAAAGTTATGCTGGATGCCCAATTGAGGCCTTTGATACAGGGATATTAAAAAAATAAACAAATATATAAA